AATAAGCTCAAACATCTTTTAGGAGAGAAGAAAGGAATTTATAGACATATCAAAAGAGGTGAGAGTCATCTTTTAAATCAATAAATTCACATTAAGAGGGAGGTTAAAAAGGGGATAAGAAAAGCTAAACGAGACTATGAAATTAAAGTTGCTAGGGATTCGAAAACTAACCCTAAAGGTTTTCACCAGGTTACAGAACAAAAGTTAGAGAAAAGATAAGTCGCCTTAAAAATAACTCTGGGCATCTTACTGATCAGGAATTACATTAGCCATCGTCCACATATCAGACATTGCACCTGTTTGAAGAGATATATTAAAAATATTAGTCAAAGATTCACAAATTTTCATTTTACACTCCTTACGAACCCTTGAAAAAAGCTTATCAGGACCCGGGGATTTATTTTGCTTCAGTCTGTGTATCTGGTTGATAACCATATCGCAGTGACTTTGATATTAATCAATTTATCTTCTTCAGGATCACTATAAAAATAAATTATTGGGGGTATTGTTATTGTCTTCCTGTCTGAAAACCGAGAGATAATAATTATTAGAAATAGAGCATATTTCATTTTCCTTGTCAGTAAGGGGACCTATCTTTTCTCTAACTTTGCTATATAAACATGGAAAAAAAAACTGGATTACTTTTCGTATCTCTTGTAACTTTAATTTCATATTCACCCTTAGCTTCCTTCTAAATGTGAATATATTGATTCATAAGATGACCCTTATCTCCTATGATGCGCCTATAAATTCATTTCTTCTGCCTTAAAAGATGTTTGAGACTATTATTCATCGATTTTGGGTCATTTCGTTTCGATTTAATTTCTTTATACGGAATAAATATTCTTTGGGCAGCTTGTATAGTGTTTAGAAAGCTGTCATATTGGTAGCTGTCTTCGTTACCCCAGTCAACAGATGGTAAGTGTTCTTTAAGCTCATTGTAATCTGCTAAACGAAAATCTGGGACCTTTACTGGGTTATCCCTACTATCATACGTCCATTCAATTTGTGGTCACTTGTGCTAAGTTCCTCTGTTATATCTAAACCATTAACAAGGGTTTTCTTGCTTGCCAGAACCAAGTCAGGCAGGTTATTTCCCCTTGTAGGTTCCGTAAAAACTGTTTAAAAAAATCCTGAACTACCTCTAAGAAGTCGTTGGACTCTAAATTCCCAGTCAAGGAATTCCAATTTGGTGGCCTGGTGGCTAATGCTCTCGCTTCACAGGGCGAGGGCGTGGGTTCGATTCCCAGCTAGAGCAGAAACATTGGGCGTGTTTCTTTCCACCTGTTGTCCATGACTCCCCATCAGTAAAATGGGTACCTGAGTGTTAGACAACTGGTGTGGGTCGCATCCCGGGACACTGACCTAATTTGCCCGAAATGCTCAGCATAACAGTGGGCTTTCTATATAGTAGTATGTCACTGATTTAGCTAGGCCTGTATACAATGTACATGTACTTGTAATAAATAAAATATATTATTATATTATTATTTTTCTGGCTAAAAGTAGAATCCCCTCGAATTACTAACATTATCGTGCCTTGTGGTCCTAACAATTTCCTCCCTAATGTACGCTTCCATGGCCTCTATCAAAGTTTGGGGGACGGTATATCAAGCCGAAAATCATTTTTTCTGTGCCTCTCTGAAAATTCTACCCAGACTCAGTATGTGTTATTTCAAAGTTTATATCCGTTTTTATGCAAGAATTCCAGCGATCTCTGGCATACGGTGACACTCCACCTTCCTTTCCGGTACTTCCGTGTGCTGGAACAATTTAAAACTCTAAATGTGACATTCAGGAGGCATGCCCTGATTTTTTCATATTAAACCACGTCTCAATTATGACAAATACATCAGTGTTCCACGCACTTGTAACTAATCTCAAGTAGTCCATCTTATTTCTAGCACTACGACTATTAATAAAATATAAATTTATAAACAGTCCCTTCTCTTTTCTCTTCCTGTTATTTCCTGTTCCTCCACTATCCCTAGTGTCACTGGTTTTTCCAATATTCACCTATAACTCTACCTCATTCTGCCTGTAATTGATTTCATTAAAACTCCCACAATCTCTACACTGAGAATTCATTGTTTTCCTCAGAAAAAAAAACTTACCACTAACTATTTCTAGTTTAAAGTTGTAACAGCTCCCTCCACTGCATTGACCAGTGCCCCCACCCCACACCTAGGTAAGTGAACTTTATCCCTGGCATACATGTTATTTCTGTCGTAGAAGAGGTCCCAGTTGTTTACGAATGTTACTTCATTTTCCTGTTGCCCAGGACGACCATTCATTTCCAATTCCTCTCATCGGCAAAATGCTACATATAACAAGGTTCCCACCCTTCTTCCTCATTATCTTGATAATCAGGTCCTGACTTCTACGTCTGCCAGCATCGTTACCTCCAGCACTGAGAAAAATAATAGGATTGTTCTTATGTTTTGGGTAATATTCGTATAGTATGATTGTCTGTTTTCGGGATAAATAAAGTATTTAAAGAGCACTTAAAGGGTAACTGATAATGTTAATGAGGGCCTGAAGGCATCATATTCATTTACTACATACATATGATACCAACCAGGAGCTCTATAAGAACATTATTCACTCATCTGATGCATAAAAAAAATGTGAATCTGTTTCCTGGTGTGATATCTTCAGGTCCTCAGTAGAATTATCGAATTATCCTTTAGGCGCTCTTTTAATTTATTATTTACCCTCATGCAACTCACGTATTTGTGTAATTCAAGTATTTTTAGGGCACCAAAGAGTAACTCACTGTTTGGTAACTTATTTAAGAAAAATAAGGTGGATAACTCACGTATCGTCGTCGGCCTTGAAGAACCAGTCGTAGTCTTGTAGGTGGTGCTGGTAAACGTAAGTGAAGGCGGCCTTGGTCTTCCCCCACAGCAGGTTTCGCCCCTCTCCAACAGCCAGGTCAATGGACCCAAGATCAGTGTCTGTGGTTGAAACAACTGTTTAAACAACAACAGAAACAACAACAGCAACAATAACAACAAGTCTAACAAAAAAACATCAGTAACATCAACCTCCACATAAATCACCAGTGCACAAATAACCACCACATAGGAGACTGAAGCATAAGAATGGAGGAACACTACAGAAGGTCTACTGGCCCATTCAAGGCAGGTCCTTATCAAAACCACCCCTTCACAAAGCTACTCAAAAATTTACTCCCGTACCCACGACACCAATCAAACCCAGCCCCTCCCAGTCCATTACCCTTCTCGGAAGACTGTTCAAAGCATCGACAAATTTGTCTGAAAACTTGTTTTTACTTATGTACTTTCGAAATCTAAATCTAACTTAAATCCATTATTTCAAGTTCTTACCTGACTCGATGTCCTCAGTATTTCATTAATATCACCTCTGTTTATGCTTGTCATCCACCTATACACTTCATAAGAACAAAAGAAAGAAGAAACACTGCAGCAGGCCTACTGTCTCATGCTGCGAATAATTTCAGCGGTGCGTCTGTTCATGTTACCCCGGAGTGCTGTGCCTAGTGTCCTGGCTGAAGAAAAGCTTCCTTTATAGCATTGTTTAAGCCATCTGCACACTCTTCGAGGTAGGTTCGAGCTGTAGCGGAGAAAGGAGGTTTGATGTTGGCAATTTGAGGAGGAGTAGATCTTGGTAAGACCATTTCTTGGATGCAGTCAAGAAGAAAACTGTGTCTATTGCGAAGTAAGTTCCTCAAATTGCTTACATCAAATCTCCTTTCTCCGCAACAGCTCGAACCTACCTTGACACTAAGGATGACACTCCGGGGTGACATGAACAGACGCACCGCCGAAATTATTCGCAGCAGAGTTACCACAGCTAATGTTCAACAGAAAATCAGACTTATTAGGAAACTCCAAACTCTCTGCGATAATAGTCAGTGGAAAAGTATAGGAAGACTTGAAATTATTCTTGTATAACGCATCAAGTTAAATTATCTCAGACATATATATCGCTACTCCACCACCCTTCCTGTTGACCCTATCAGTGTGGAATAATTTATTGTCTTGTATATGGCATTCAGAAGGAATTTCTCTATCTTTCAGACTGAACCAGGTCTCGGTTATTGCAGTAACATTTATGCTTCCTGCATTTGCAATTAATCTTAGCTCATCTATTTTATTCCTTACACTCCTGCTATTGGCAAAGTAAACCTTAAGGGAGCTAGTCTCTCGCTACCCTCTGCTGTCTCCCTTTGTTTGCTGACCAGTTCTATTGTCTTTATTTGTAACTTTATGATGAATAATGTCTTTTAAACATTTACTGTTTTCAATGCTAGTGCTGCAATCTGACTGTTTCCTACAAACACCCATACCTATATCTTCTATCGTTTTAAAATCCTAGACAAGTCACCAATGATCCTCTTGATTGAGTTGGCAAATGCTACCACCCCTGTCCCAGAGAGATGTACCCCATCCCTTGCATACATATCATGTTTGCCAAAAAAGTTGTCCCAGTTACAAGTTCTGTGCAGTATCTGTCTAGCCAGCAATTTACATCAATTGGCCAAAATATGCATTCATTGCTCACTCCCCTTCTAGGCAAAATGCAATACATAATTGGGATCCCTCACAGAAACCTAATAAAATCTATAGCTGACCTGTACTTATCTAGCAGCTCTTCTCTCCTACCCTCTCCAGTATCATTTCCATCAGCACTGATACAGATAATGGGCTTGTTCCCATTACCTGACATAATATTATCCAACCTGTTGACTCTGTCCCCAACACCAGTTCCAGGGAAACACACTCCCTGTCTTACCTTCTTATCCCTATTACAGAAAGCACAGTTCATGTATCTTACCTGTGAGTCACCAACCACAAAAATGCATTAACCTCTATTAACAGGGGAGGTAATATCTTTACCTTCACTGACCACTGAAGTACACTCATCCTGAAGAACAGAGAAGTGGTTTCCTACCTTCAAACCTTCTCTCTTACTCTCGCTGCTTGTAACAGGTGCTGGACTACTCCTCACTGCCTTCTCATCCTGAACATCTTCAACCACCTCGCAGCAAGTGCCAGACTGCTACTCACAGCTGGAAGTCTTATTCCTCTCACCCACAGCAGCAACCTCACACTCACTCCCAAACCCAACGAGGTGACCCTTCAACATCCTAATTTTCTCGTGGAGATGTAGGACCTCCTCCTTCAACACTAACCTCAGATTTTAAAACACTACAGAAGCAAGCCATGGCTTTGTAACCCTCGACACTAATCTTTAAAGTAGCCTGTGCTAACCTTCCTATGGTGTAAAAATATACCTAGTTGGACGAATCTTATTATGGCTAGCTGGTCTAGTGGCTAACGCGACGGGCTGGAGTTTTGAGACTCTCTGACCGCGGGTTCAATCCCGGCCTGGGTATAGTTTGTTTGCAATCGTGTCATTACGATTTCGTGAGTCACCACTTGTGACCACTGACCACTTCGATAATATTTCCTCTCATTCTACGTCTCTCGAGAGAGTGAAGATTCAAGGAAGTTCATAAGGGAGATTCCTTATACAGTGAATCATTTTAGTCATCCTTCTCTGTATGTTCTCCAACGAATTTATGTCCACATGACTCAAGAAATCGTAATGACACGATTGCAAACAAACCATCCCCCCGGCCGGGATTGAACCCGCGGTCATAGAGTTTCAAAACTCCAGCCCATCGCGTTAGCCACTAGACCAGCTAGCCACAAATAAGATTCATCCAACTAGGTATATTTCTACACCATAGGAAGGTTAGCACAGGCACCACTGTGACCACAAATGCAAGTTTTTACAGTGGCCGTGACGAAGTTCGTCACGGCCACGCTAGCTGGAGATTCGTCTGTAAAAACTTGCATTTGTGGTCACAGTGGTGCCTGTGCTAACCTTCCTATGGTGTAGAAATATACCTAGTTGTATGAATCTTATTTGTGGCTAGCTGGTCTAGTGGCTAACGCGACGGTATGGAGTTTTGAGACTCTATGACCGCGGGTTCAATCCCGGCCGGGGGGATGGTTAATTTATGTCCATCCTGTAGTAAGGAGATCAAAACTGAGCGGCGTAATCCAAGTGAGGCTTTAATAGTAATGTATAGAGCTGTAAAATAACTTTTGGACTCCTCTTACTTATATTTCTTGAAATAAACCCAAGTAATCTGTTAGCCTTATTACATAAACTTAGGCATTGTTGTCTTGGCTTCAGATTTCTGCTCACCATGACTGCCAAGTCCTTTTCACAGCCTGTGTGATCAAGCTCTACATCACCTAGTTTATAACTTCGAGGGCTATTTTTATTCCCAAGGACTGGGACTTTACACTTGTCCACATTGAACTTCATCTGCCACTTTTCAGACCAAAATTCTCCCGGAGTTAATCCGTATCCTCATTAAAATCATTTATTCTGCCAATTTTTGTATCATCAGCAAATTTGCTCATGTCACTTGCAATTCCTTCATCAAGGTCATTAATGTAAATTACGAACAAAAGAGGGACTACAACTAATCCCCACTCAGATTTGATCCCATTAATGGAAACTCTCTGGTTTCTACTTGTAAACCAAACCTCTATCCATCTTAGAACTTTACCTCCTGTACCACGAGCTTCCGACTTGGACTATTTACAAGCCACACTTCTCTCTCCCATGTGCGGGTTAGTTGTAATTAGGGGAATTAATAGTTTCCATGTGATAAATGAAGAATTTGTGTCCATACCCCCGTTGGTAAGGTATGTGTCCATACCCCCGTTGGTAAGGTATGTGTCCATACCCCCGTCACCAGAGTGTAGAAATTATCATCAGCAGTCCTATCAGAAATCAGTATAATATCAAAAGATATCACTACACTGGTTTTACATTACTTATACTTTACTTCGTGTTAGATTTTTTGTTTTTTAATCCCACATCTCTTGCGAACACCCGAACATTCACATCTCTTACAACCACATCTATAAATATTTTGAACAACCACGGTGACATCATGCATCCCTGTCTAAGGCCTACTTTTATTGGGAAATAATCTCCCTCTCTTCTACGCCCCTAAGATGAGCCCCAGTGTCCGAGTAAAATCAGATATGTAAGTGAACGGTATTTAGATAAGTTTAAAAGGATTCTCGTTGCATTTATGAATTTGAAAATGGCATATGATAAGGTGGATAGGGAAACAATGTGGCAGATGTTGCAAGTGTATGGAATAGGTGGTAGGTTACTGTACTGTACACCTTATCATGTACTATTACTGTACACCTTAACATATGCCAATTTCAAATCCATAAATACAACGAGAATCCTTTCAAACTTATCTAAAAACTGTTCACTTACATGCTTCACTGTAAACACTTGTTCAACACACCCCCTACCCTTCCTAAAGCCTCCCTGTTCATCTGTGATCCTACTATTCGTCTTACTCTATTTTTTCCGTAATGTTTCAACCATACACCTTAACGGGCATACTTAACAGGCTTTTTCCCCTACAATTTTACAGTCTCTTTTGTCCCCGTTATCTTTATACAAAAGAAGTATGCATGCTCTTTGGCAGTCCCTAGGTACCTTCCTCCATTCCATACAATTTTTAAATAAAAACGCCAACCATTCCAATACTATATCAATATCTGCACCTGCTTTTAACATTCCTGCCATGATCCCATCAATCCCAGATATTTTACCCCCTCTCATTCTACCCACAGCCTCACATACCTTCCTCACACTCACATCTGTCTCTTTCTCACTCCTAAAAGATATTATACCTCCCTGACCAATGCACAATATCACTGCTTCCGTCTCATCATCAATATTTCACAGTTCCTCAAAATATTCCTTCCATCTTTCTGATACCTCTAACATCCAATCTAATAAATCTCCATTCATTTCCTAGGCTTCCTCAGCTTATTGATCGAACTCCAAAACTTTTTCTGATTCTCGGCAAAATTTGTTGGCAGCATCTCACCTACTCTCTCATTTGCTCTCTCTTTAC